ATGGGGCCGATGTGGGGCCTTCCCTGTGGGGACATGGTGGGCGGCCGGTGTGGGGCCTTCCCTGTGGGAGGACATGGTGGGAGGCCAGGCCAGTTGCGGGGCCTTCCCTGTGGGGCGACGTGGCAGGAATGCGAGCCCAATGTGGCGCTTTCCTTGCGGGGGGACAGGGCCCCATTTTGGCTCCGTTTCCATCACGGAGCCAGCCCCAGCCGGCTCACCCTCGGGGGGGTGATCTGGTGGCCAGACCCAGCCAGGGACTTCACGGGGTGGGGGGACGCGTCGGCCTGCCCGGCTGCGTGCCGGGGGCCACGAGGGCGCTGAGCGCGGGCCGTGCCGCAGCGGCGGCGCTGGCGCTGGTGCTGGTGGCGGTGCTGTGGGGCGGCACGGCGCCGCTGCTGCGGGCGGGCGCCGCGGGGCTGGAGCGCGTGCGGCGCCAGGGCCGCCTGCGGCAGCTGCTCGCCGAGATCCGCTTCCTGGGCCTCAACTACAAGGTGCGAGCCCGGCCCGCGAGCTGCCCGCGCGTTCAGCTGCCTTTCGGGGCGTCTCTGTCCCCTGCTTCACAGCTTGGGCTGCTGGAGTCCAGCTGCCATCAGGAGGATTTGTCCTCCCTGCTATTTCACTTACTGGCCCACCACCCTGCTCTCCCCTTGCAGCATGTAGGCCGCCTTGTAGACAGCAAGTCATTGAGCCTCGTATTTGGCATAAAATAAGCTCTGTGTGGCTTTTGTGGGGTGGGAAACTGCAGCTGTGGGCAGTAGAACCCCCAGTGCGCTGCATTCCCAAATGGAGTGCACCCCCAAACGTGGCTGAGCAAGAGGGGCTGGCTTCCTTCCCTGTCGCTCCCAACACTGCTTCCGTGCGGACGCGGTGGTGTTGCACGCGGCAGCTGACGAGCTCCTGTTCTCCTCGCAGTACGTGGTGCCGTTTCTGCTCAATCAATGCGGCTCGCTCCTTTTCTATCTCACCTTGGCGTCCACAGGTTGGTTCTCGTCGCTTCTGTAGCTGGGGCGGATGGGGATGTGGGGAGGAGCGGCCTCATCCATCGGCAGGTAGCCCAGCAGCGACCACGTAATAGCAGCGAAGTCGCTGCCGTGTTTAGTGATGGGCATTTCTGCAGGATCCCTCCTTTCAAACTGTGGTGAAATTGCTCCATTTCAGACCTGTCTCTGGCTGTGCCGCTCTGTAACTCCCTGGCTTTGATAGCCACGTTAGTGACTGGGAAGATTCTAGGAGAGGATATTGGCGGTAAAAGTAAGTTGGACTCGAAAGGTGTTTTGTCACAGTGCCTCCTGCGTGTACTGCTGACGCGCTAGCGAAGGCTCCCGTGCTCTGGTGTGATCATGCTGTATTTTTGGCATGGATGCTGTTATATTTCGCAGGGGCTGTGGCAGGAATGCTGATCACTCTCCTAGGAATCACTCTCTGCGTAGCTGGCTCGTAAACCAGGCGCACTGAGAAACGGCGGGAAGAGAACCCGGTGCAAGGCAACCCCGGGGCTGAAGAGGGGAGTTTCTGCTCAGCCGCGGGCCATTGGGCTCAGCTGTGTTGAGGAAGCTGCGTTTTATAACACACATGTCTGAAAAACATGGATTGTGTTCCCTCAGCACCATGCTGGAGCAGTATATTTTCCAAGAACATCCTATTTGATGTTCTGGCTTAAGGGTTTTTTTTTCCAAGAGGCAGAGGTGACTGAATTGGCTTGTTTTGGCACCAGCAGGATAATAAATTGTTAATAAATCTTTCAGACACTCTACTTTGAAAATGACTTTGCCTTAATTATGACCCAGATGATTTGCTGTAGAAGGAATCGTTAGGAAGTCTTCTCCTTTGTGGCTCAGGCTGTGAAAGTAGCTGTGAAATATTTTTAAAAGACTTATTTTTTAATACAACCAATTTTCTGTCAGATAGTTTATTATAAATGAGTATATTCTCTTGGGTAGTTCTTCCTCCCCAAATTCAGATACAAACCAGTGTCTTAATTAGAGTTTGAAAACAACAGCCCCCTCCTCTGCCAAACAATCCTAGTGTAGAGATGAGGAAAGCAGGAATACTTCTATTGCTCAACAAAATGGTGCATCTGATTCCCAGCTCACTGGTAGTTTCTCTCTCAAACCCAGATAATTAGGATTCTTGATTTTAGAATAGCTTTAATTCATCAGAAACCTTGGCCAATCTTTTGTGTTACACAAATCTGAGAATCACCTGCTCTTGTTATCTGCAGCTCCCAGATAGCAGTCTACCCAAATGTCTCCGTTCCTTCATGTTCCCTTGTGAGATCTCCAGAGTTCTGTTCTGTGGTTTTCTCCTTGGAGAGCCTTGCGTCCCTCCGTGCTCCTTTGTGGTTTGTCTGTACTCCAAACCTTTATGTGTTAGAAATAGAGTTATTAACCCTTTCTGCTGTTACAGACAGCTCCTGGGACTGAACTGGATTCCATTTCCAGTCCTGCCATGGCTTTAAGTGCAAACTTAGGTCCCTAGCACTGAGTCATCCACCTTGGAATCGAGGGGAGTGATTCTGGCTGCGGAGGAGAGCTGTGGAACTCAGGTAACATCGCAGAGCAGTGTGATCTCGTGGGGGAGGAAAGGCCACTGCGAAGCAGTGACACCGGAGCGCTCCCCCGGCCTCCACACAGACAGGCTGACCTGGCCTCTGGGGTAAAGACGCCGCTTTGGACTCCACGCTGGGCTAGGAAGGGGCTCGTTCTTTACTAGGGCTTTCTCTAATTTAAGTTCAAAGGATGTGTTTTCCTTTGAAGTTCTAATTAGTCCGCAGAGACTACCTAGGCCAAACTGTGAATCATCTTTAATATAATCCCATTACGTCAATTTTAAGTGTCCATATGAAAAATCTAACACAGGAATATTCCATGAACACTAAGCGTTTTTCAGACGTTTTTCACATTGACTTTTGTTTTTAGAAAGACCCTAAGAATTTTTTTTCTTTCAAGTTCCAAAGTTGCTCTTACCTAACAAGTATGGTCAGACATTTTAGGAATTACACGTTAATATCCTGCTGCCTTCCATGCTGCACCTGGCTAAAGGCAAATTCTGCTTAAAAGTTATATTTGAGGCTACTAAGTTTTGTGTAAAAAAACCTGCATTAGGACACAGCCAGGAAGCATCTAATACATTTACAGAAATGTTAAGTAGAATAAATACCTTGTTGTGGCTTCTCATTTTCACTTTTTGTATAATTTCCTCTTCCACAATGTCTGCAACTGTCTGGAAGAGGGGTATGGACACTATTACTTACCAGCAAAAGGGAAATGTTCAGTACAGTCATACAATCATTCAGATTACAATCTCCAGACTTTCTAAAATGCAGAGCCCTGCAATAACCCGCTGTCCTCTGGCTTCAGAAGTTCCCCCTTGTGGCTACTTTCAATGCTACAAATTCCAGAGGAAAGTGCTTTATAAACCTAGCGTCGAGCCTGACTGAAAACAAGCAAGCAAAAAAACTGAACCAGTATCCCAATCCCCCTATAATTTACTGATGCGTCTGTTCTTGGGGCTGTCTTGCCATAAGAAAGGAAGCATTTCTCTATGGGGTTACGTCCAAGCTGTCCCTCAGCTGCCTGTGTCTTGGAGCCTGTGTCCCTGCTGTGCAAAACCAGGAGCACCAATAGAGTAACTACCTCCATGTAGCAGCGGGAGACTCCTGAGAGGGCAGGAAATGGTATCTCCTACCTGATCAATGGGTACCTCCACCTTCGTGTGTTCATCCTCCTTTACTTCACGGGCACCTCGCGTCTCCCTCCTGGGGTCTTTGGCCTTATAAACAACTCCTCCTGCCAAGGAGAGCAAACTGCTAAATGGGTATTGCAGGTAGACAGAGCCTAGTCTTGTTAAAATTACAGAAAAGCCATGGTCGTATGTGTCACAAGGAGAGAAGGACCAGAAATGCAGAAGTTATTAGGTACGCCACACGGCTGCTTTCTTTTAGCACACTGGTAGATAGTTTGTCCTTTAGCAGCAAAGCAAAGCCAGTCTTTCTCCACAGTTATAGCAGAATTTTATCTCTACCTTGGTCAGCTGGCCAGTGCTGCACATTCGTGTTATTCTTCCTGTTTTGTCCTGCACGGACGGGTCTAGCATAGAAAAGAGATTCTTCGTCCTGGGGATGAGGTTTTCTGGGTGGCTTTTGCAGTGGAGGAGAAGCAACTGGGATCTTGTCTTTCTCTGTAGCTTCTGTGGTCTGCGCTCTGCGATTGTCCAGCTGAAAATGTTCAGCATGCGTGTTTGTTATGCCCTCCGGGTAGAGCAGTTTATACAACGAGCCGTTTTAAGGGTAATTCCAGTAAAAAACACTGCGACTTCCTGCCCACGAGCCCTAAACCTGGTGTGCAGCTGTAACATTGCCTTTGCTTAACAGGGTTTCAAGGTGATTCTACACATAAATAGGTACAGGAAAGACATACATTTGTTTTCCCGCAGTCACTACCTGGTGAGGTGGGAAAGCAAGAGCAGAGCTGCTAGCTCTGTCCTGGGAGTTGATGCAGAGTTTGCCAAACTGAAAACAGGAGGAAAAGGAACTTTCAAAAGCAAAACAGCACTTTGAGAGCAGCAGAGCTAGCACAGACCCTGCTTTCGGGGGCAAACCCAGGGGAGCCCAGCTGCTATAGCTGCCCTTTCCACTGCAGGATTCTTTCCCCACCCAGAGAGGAGGAGAGGGCTCTCAGCCCCACTCTGAATTCTCCCTCGCCAACAGCTGAAAAAGAGAGGAGATGGGTAAAGCCACTTTCAGGAGATTTCTTTCAGGCAGGGAGACTTCATTCACGTGCAGACTGGCCATGTCCTCAGTTGCTCCTTGGGAGAAGGTGCCAAGTAAGGGGGCAGTGACCGTGGGAATGGAAACCACGCAGGGCCCGCTGTGTGCACGGACCCAGCTGCGCTTGTAGCACCCGCAGCCCCACGGCGGCTGAGCCACCTACCCTTTCACAGGAGTTTCTGCGCCTGCCATGTGGGTGGTTCCTGTAACAAAGCAGCAGCAGGTTCTCATTATCGAGCCGAAGTCACGGGAGACACGATCCCCTTGCCCGTTTTCCCACAAGGAAGAGCCCCAGCACAGGGAGAGCCTCACGGCACCTCACCAAGGTGCCAGAGTCCTGTGCTGGGAGCCAGCCAGCAGCCACAGGAGCTGCCTACGCACCGTGGTGTCCTGTACACAGGTGCCTGGGGCACCAGCAGCTCCAGGTAGGGCAGGTTTTGGTACTTCTCAGCTCCCACTGCCACGTAGTAGCCACCGTTCACCAGCTCCTCCGCCTCACACACCTGTGCTCCGTCCAGCCTGCAGAGCCTCAAGTGAAGAGAGCAAAGGGATTGAAAAAGAGAGTGCAAAGGAAGTCAAAAACCCTCCCACTGAACAGGAGCGAAGCAGGAAACACGAGCAACATGAAGCGTTTGTGTCCCTGGGTGTACGCCCAGGAGAGCCCGCAGCGCCTGCCCCGGTACCCACTTGCGAACAGCTCCGCCGCGCACGGTCACTTTCTCCGTCAGCAACGTGAGGAGCGCGTCCTGCTCCGGCAAGGCGCTCCCGGGCAGCGGCAGGCGGAAAGGCGGGCTCAGCAAATCCCCGTTGCGGAAAACGCTTCGGGAGAGACGCCGCAGAGGGTGTGGTAAGGCTGTGTGCCTGCACTCCCCCACGGATAACGTCCTCTGTGCCAGGGCTTTCCAGCCCCTTGTTTGCACACCGCGTTGTGCGCGTCACCCTCCGCTCGAAATGCTGCCACCAGCAGTCGATAGGAATGGTCTGGCAAGAGTTAGCAAGAGCAACGCTCTCCCTGTCCCTGGCAGGATCTAAGGCTATCGGCGGGCACAGGGCAGTGACACTGGTAACCGGGCCACGTGCATCTCAGTCAGCCCCTCCCAGGACAGGTAATTATTTGGACGGGCAAAAAGGCAGGACACGAACACCTGGAAGGTATCCGCAAGGAAAGCCTTTGGGAGAGCCTAGGAAGCATCCCTGTAGGGCAGCATCGCTGGGACGACACAGAAATTCCCCCCTCCAGCCTCCAAAAACGTTCCCAGAGAGCCCCGAGGAAGGAAGGACCGAGGCACTCACTGTATAACGCGGGGCGGGCGGACGGGCTTCTGCCACGGCGCCGAGACGTTCGGCTTGCAGGGAGCTGCAGCGCGGGGCTGGAGAGCGGGTCAGCGCTCGGGGCTGCGCCGGGAGCGCGGCCGCCCCGGCTGCGCCCTCTCCTCTGCACCCTGCCCTCCCTCCCGCTGCTGCCAGGGCCCCTTGTTGTCAGCAACACCAGGGGCCGGGGCGGCTCTTGGCAGCGCCGCGTCCTGCCGGGATCCCGCGTCCGCACCCTGCTCTGCCCGGTCCTGCTCTGCCCGGTCCTTCCCGCACGGGTAGGGCTGGCAGGTTCGCAGCAGCAGTCCCCGCTCCGCCACACACACATAGTCCTGGTTCTGTGGCATTTTTAGCTGTCTCCGCCGGGCACCTGGCAGCCCTTCAGCTCCCCTTGTCTCCTTGGGGCAGCCCTAGCACTTTCCACACTTCTTCCCCGCTCACCCTGCCCTCCTGCCTGTGCCGCTCGGCTCGGGGCCTCACCTGCAGGCCAGGGCTGTTCTTTGTCTCGCTGCGCGGCTTCACTCCACCATTTAAATAGCTGCAAGAGCAAGAAGTCACCACGTACTAATAGATTTAAATAAGATACTACTTATTTAACTACTAATAGTAACACTAACCACTACTAATAGATTTAATAGATTTAAAGCCACTTTCCAAGCCCCGAAAGCAGCGGCCCGTTTACTCACTCAAGGCTTTTGAACCTTTCCGAGCCTGCGGCCACGTACTGGCAGCCATCCCGCAGGTCTCCGAGCCGAGCGACGCGGCGGCCCTGCCGCGCCGTGTAGAGCTTCCTCACGGCCACGGCTGCGCCCACGCTCCGGGTCAGCTCGTTCAGAAAGGCCTCGAAGGTGAGGAAGCGCCGCTGGTTCACCACCACCCTCCTGCCGCGGAAGAAGGGGTCCCCGTTGCGATAGACGACCACGTTCTTGGCTGGCGGCGCCGGAGCTAAAGCAGGGGAGCTGCCCATCGCCGGCGGAGCCAGCGCGCTGCTTCACCCAGAGAGGCTCAGCACGGGGCAAGGAGGGCTCTGCTCAGCCTCCCGCGGCGCCGAACCCCTTTGGAGCCGCTCTGGGATCCGCCTCCGGCCCCAGCGCGGCCCCGCAGCGAGCGGCGTCTCCAGGGCTGCAGGACGCAGTTGTGGGCCGGTCCGGAGGCCACATCAGTCAAGCTGCACACCGGTCGTCCTGGAGCCTCCCCCTCGGCACACACGAGCCCGGCAGCCTCCTTCCAACCCGGCCCCGGCCCCACGTCAGGCAGCTCAGGAGAGCCGCGAGCGCCAGCAGCTCACGCCCCGTCCGGGACAGCAGCATCCAGCAGCCGTGCCTACCTCGGAGCCGGCGTGAGCAGCGCGGGGTGTTTCTGTCCTGCCCCGCTCGTACAAACATCCACCCCAGAAGGGACACGCCAGCCCTCGCACCACGTTGCCGCCCGGCCGGCTCAAAACAGGCTGTGGGCTCCGCTGGCCCTGCCCGGGACAGGACGGCAGGACCAGGAGAGGCAAGCAGATTCAGAAACAAATGAAAACTTTTTATTTACAGTCAGCATCAAGAACAAAAAGCTTTATCTGCCCTATGGCAAGGCTGTACATCCAGGCAGTAGGAGCAGCGAGTGTTTGCACAGAGGATTTGGGGTCACAATGAGGAACCACAGCATTGTGTGGAAAATCCCTCCCCGAGTGCCATGGGACAGCCCTGAATGCCAGCAAAACCAGCGAGGCATCTTTGTGGACAAACACAAACCCCTCGCGTCCTGACCTGCTCCCTGAGGCGCTCGGAGGTCCTGCCTGAGCATTTCAGCCACGGGCAGGGGTCCGAGAGACGTGCGAGCCAGGAAACAAGCACCATGTCCTGGAGTTGGAGCTCGTGGGCCACCAGCAGCACAGGAAAGCCAGAAAATGTGGCCGTTCTCCAAAACCTACCACACTCACTTGGGGATCCCAGATAGTGCAGAGCGGTAACGGCCAGAATGAGCCCAAATACACAGCTCCGGTACCAATGGGTCACCCTTAGTTCATCAGAGAATCTGCTCCCGGAGGTTCAAGGCACCTGCTGCCATCAGGCAGTTTAGATCAACAACAAGCAACGAGCAGTCACTTGGAGCTGGTCAAAAAGTTCCCCCTGTAAGTGACAATCTTCCCAGCCTTGATTTACCTCTAGGGTTGCTCTGCTCGGCCCCCAGAAACGGGGCTCGTGTCGGAGGAGGCCTCACTAGGACTCCCTTTGGACACACAAGCTCCCTGGCTTTGCAGTGACATTTTCAAAAAGGCTTTCTTGCCACATCCATCTGGAGAGCATCAACCTGTGGAGCTGGAGTTCTCCCAGGCTGCTGCTGCCAGGAGGTCCCACTATGACCATGGTCCCTCCTACAGGCCAGGAGCACCCAGCTTCTTCTTCAGCCTCAGGTACTGCAAGAGAAAGAAAATAAAACATTGGTGACTAAATCCCAGGGACAGAGATGAAGGAAAGATCCTAGGAGGAGGAAAGCGCCTGCCTTAGGAGACTAGCCCCTAAAATTGTTAACACTTGACCTGAATATGCACACAAGCCTCACCTTTAAAGCAACACAAATTGCAACTTGCTGGGTACCTAGATTTGCACTAGTTTCTTGTACAGACACAATATTTATTAAAGCAGTAAAGTCTGTAACAGACCAGGGGCAAACTTGTAACCAGATCTAAACAGCCTCTCTTTTCCCTTATTGTTCCTTGTTTTCCACAGGAGGAGGAGGAGGAAAACCAAACAAACAAGTGTTGCTACCAGCTGATCTAGATCTCAGGTAACTGAGCTTTCACTGTTCATCCCCCCACAGACTGCACGTCTCTGGCTGCAAACAGGCACTAGTCCAAGCCACTGTTTTGCAAGAGGCAGGGAAAGGCCCTTACATTTTTCCGGCTCACAATAGCTTGTTGCAGCCACAGTAACTCCATGATCAAGTGATTTCTATACGCCAGGAGGCCAGGCACGGTCCGAGGAAGCTCCTTCAAGTCTTCAAGCGGGATTTCTGCAAAGAAAGAGACAAATAAAGCATTATCAGAACAAATACTTGGTAGCCAGTCCCCTTTCCCCTGCAATGAGGACCGGAGAGAGCTAACATTCAAACCCTACAGGGAGAGCCCGCCGCTCCGGTGCATAAAGCGCCTCCCATCCTTACCCAGGCCGGCTCCGGGGCCCGTGCTCTCCAGGACGGTGCTGGCCCACGCAGAGGCCTCACAGCCTTTGCTCTCGCCCTCCTCGCCTTCTGCTGGGGCACTGTGCCCCTTGGCAGCGGGTCTGCCCGTGCCAGCCCCTGCGTCTGGCCTCGCTTCATCACCTTCGCTGGTCACTCCCTCACTCCGCAGCTCAGCCGGAGGCTTCACGTTGCTGCTACAGCCCTGGTCTCTTGCGGGTTCAGAGGCCTCGGGGAGAGGACTCTCCTGCTGCAACGTGTCTGTGTTGGACTCATCAACTGATAGAGGCTCTTGCGTAGCTGCACGCTTTGCTTCTAGTGGCTTCTGGAAGAAGAACATGCAAACAACTGAACACGGGAACAAAAATATAAAGATTACAAAGACTGGTTCTTCTGTGGGCTGGTGCTTTTGTCCCAGCCAGAGACGTGCAGTTAACAGCAACTCCGGCAAGACCCCAACAGAGGCTGCCGTGAGCCATCGCTAGCGGCTTCAAGGGTCTTTCCTGCAGCGGCGGAGCTCAGTACAGAGCAGCGCTCGAGCGCCGCAGCGCCGCTCAGCTCGGTGTGAACGGGGGAAGCGGCACGTGTGCAGAGCCGCAGGAGCCAGGGGCACGGCTCACGTGCTTCACCCGCGCCTGCCTTCACCCGCAGAAGCTCAGCGACCCAAACCGGGGAGACAAAACCAGACCTCGGCTGCATAACCCTTGTTGTGGCGCGGCGGCGAGCGATGAGGCGCCTCCCAGCTCTCCACGAACACCGGCCTCAGCAGGCGCTGCCCCGTCCAGCGCAGCCGCTCCAGGCTGCCCTCGGTCTCCAGCACCACGGCCTCGTACTCGGCACGCACGGCGTGCAGCTGCCGCCGCAGCAGGTAGCCGCGCACGAGGGCCTGCAGGAGAGGGGCCGTGAGGAGAGGGGCCGTGAGGAGAGGGGCCGCGAGGAGAGGGGCCGCGAGGAGAGGGGGGCCGCG